TGGTTGCAGCCGTCATTGTTGTTTGGCGGGTCCGGGCTGGGGATTCGAACCCGCCACCTTAGGTGTACGTGGCTGGCGCCCTAGCCGGTTGAGCTATAGGCGCCGAGCCAGAATTAGGTCTTACCCTTTATTTTGAAACATGATCTCCCTCTATTCCCCAGGCTAGAGTATAGTGGCATCATCACTGTTCACAGCAACCTCAAACTCTTGTGATCAAGTGATCTCCTTCCTAAGTCTGCTGAGTAGCTGGGACTTCTGATTTAAAAAAAAAAAAAAAAATGTTTTTTAGAGATGGGGATCTTTCTATGTTGCCCTAGGCTAGTCTCAAACTCCTGGTCTCAAGCAATCCTCTCACCTCAGGCTTCCAAAATACTTAGCTACCACAGCCAGCCTAGGTCTTACTTATTTTATACATGAGGAATGGCCCAGAGAAGTTAAGTAATTCTCCAAGGATGCGGTAAGCTCAAACTCAAGTCTGTTAGACTCTAATGACCAGTGAAATTCTGACAAAAATTGGTGGGTCAGGGACTGAAATCCAATGTTCTGTCCGGACATGTAGCGTCCTTCCCAAAGGACTGGGCCACTCCTAGGGTAGACAAGTAAGACAAGTAAGTGCCCAGCACACTGAACACTAGAACCTAGGACCCAGCTTAACCTGCTCCAAAGCCAACAACTGGCTGTGGCTCAGCTATCAGAGCAAATCTTCCCAGAAAGAACCTGGAAATAAGTAGCTGATGGATGACTTGGTGAAACCATACAGGGACCTGCTTAGGGACACAGCTAAGAGCAGATGGATTACACATCTATCATGATATTCAGTGCAATGACAGAAGTTTCTAGAGACTGGTGAAGAATACTGGGAAAATGCACAGGGTGGGGCTGGGGGTGTTTGTTAGAGGAGGAAGAGTTTGCATAGATGCCTCAGAACTATCTTTAAATCATCCAGTTCCCTTTACTTGTATTCTAGTAGCGGTTCAGCCCTAGTTGTATGAGAGTTGGCAAAACAGACACTCTGAGCTTTGACTTCCTCATCTGTGAAATGACAATAATATCTGTCTCATAATAAGATAATGAATCTGAAAGCACTTTGAAAATAGTGAAACTACTGTAAAAACTCATAAGAGGTTATTATGATTTGCCCTGAATATGACTTGACTCACCAAGCAATGTTATCTTAATTTGATTTCCCAAGGAAACTCTCCTACTGACCAGCCAAGTCAAGCATTATTTATGTGTCCTCTCTAAGCCTTAATTTTATCATTTCTAAAATAATGACTTGCCATCTCCAAGGCCCCTAACCTTTTATAGAATCCTTCACATAAGATATGCTCTGATTCCCTATTCCTCACTACAAGGTCACAGGAGGCAAATCTGTGAGTTCATCACCCTGGGAGTCTGTGAATGTGCAAGCCTGAGGCTCCCACTCCAGCCTTCTCATTAGCTTCTGTACTGGACACCACCAACTCTCGTAGCCAAAGAACTTCCAAAGCACTCAAGGAAATGGAGGGACACTTCATGGGGAGAAGGTCATCTGTAAGTGCTTCCCACTCACACCCTAAGATTCACTACCCCTGGGCACTGCTCATCAGTTACACTGCTGTCACATAGAAGGAAACACCTACCTCCATAATAAAATTAAAAGTTAGATTCTTCAGCTGGGTGTGGTGGCTCATGGCTGTAAAATCCTAGCACTCTGGGAAGCTGAGGTTGGAGGATTGCCTGAATCCAGGAATTGATGCCACAGCACTCTAGCCTGGGCGACAGAGTAAGACTCTATCTAGCTTTTTTCTAAAGCTAGAAGCTCTTTTCTAAAAAGAATCTAGCTTTTTTTTTTTTTTCGAGACAGAGTCTCACTTTATCGCTCTCAGTAGAGTACTGTGGTGTGACAGCTCGCAGCAACCTCTTGGGCTTAGGTGATTCTCTTGCCTCAACCTCCCAAGTAGCTGGGACTACAGGCACATACCACAACGCCAGGCTATTTTTTTTGTTGTTGTTGTTGCAGTTTGGCTAGGGCCAAGTTCGAACCTGCCACCCTCGGTATATGGGGCCAGCACCACCCCACCCACCCACCCACCGAGACACAGGTGCCGTCCAAAAGCTAGGTTTTTGTTTTTTTCTTTTTGCAGTTTTTGGCTGGGGCTGGGTTTGAACCTGCCACCGCTGGTATATGGGGCCAGCGCTCTATTCCTTTGAGCCACAGATGCCACCCTAAAAGCTAGATTCTTTTTTTCTTGAGACAGCGCCTCAAGCTATCCCCCTGGGTAGAGTGTCGTGGCATCACAGCTCACAGCAACCTCCAACTCCTGGGCTCAAGCGAGTCTCCTGCCTCTGCCTCCCAAGATGCTGGGACCACAGGCGCCCGCCACAACGCTCGGCTATTTTTTGGTTGCAGCCGTCATTGTTGTTTGCTGGGCCCGGGCTGGATTCAAACCCACCACCTTAGGGGTATGTGGCTGGCACCTTAGCCGCTTGAGCCACAGGCGCCAAGCCAAAAGCTAAATTCTTGAAGGCTGTCCAGGTAGGGAGAAATTTGGAAGGTCTGGGTTTAATTAAGGGAGTCCCCCAAGCCAGTTAAAGATCAAAAGGCAATTACAAAAGAAATGGAGTATGCACTGAGTGTGTACTAAGGTACCAGGAAATGGCCTTCCCATCATCCTGGAGGAAAAGAGCTACCTATGTACCTATTGGGTGTTATGCACCATCTTTTAATTTCCAGTCTTTTGAGATAATATTATTCCTATATTATAGACGAAGAAACTAAGGCTTTGGAGTCTGACTCCAGAGCTCTGCCTTTCTCAGTTACCTTCTTTATCAAGCATTTATCTGTGACCAGCTTAGTCACTGATAATGGTCAGCTTGCATCATACACAAGTCTTTAGAGGAAAAAAATCAATGCTAATTATTGGGGCAGAACAGGGCTGGAAGAGCAGCCAAGGGTAAAGGCAGCAGATGCTGAGACTAGTCTGGATTAGTCTCATCCGTACAGAAGCCTGGAAGCATACCCAGTTCCACGTGCCTGCTGTTAATAACGCTGTAAGTCCTGGTGATGCACTGGCTGCCCTCAGCTCCCTTGAGAGATCTATGAGAGGCCACCAGGCCAACTGCACTGACCATCAGGAAGCTCAGCTCCCTCTCAAGCTTTGGGGTGGGGGAGGTGAAGAAGGGTTAGCTGAGCTCTAGTCTGACAGCCAAGAAAGAACAAAAGGCTTATTCACTAACTCAGCTTCTCTCCTAAGAGGGTAGAGTGATGTTGACTTAAGGTTTTTCCCTTTCCTTTTTATCAGAAAATAAGAGTTCACTTCAGAGTTAAGCACAGACACTACACTTGGAGCAAGGACAGGGAGCCGCTCAGCCTCAGACTGGCCATTTGAACCTCTTGGCCTAGACTATCAGGTCAAAGACTCAGCCTGGCTGAGCTCCCACCAACCCTCTCTTAATTCCCTTCCTCCCCTAAGAGGAAGCCTGGTTTATGCCCACCCTGCTCAGTCAGGGAAAAGTTTAGTCCCATTAGCCAAGCCTCATGGCCTTGGGTAGAGTTCAAAGCTTACAGTAAATACCCTGACTGCACCAGGGCTGGGATACGATCAGGAGCTGGGCTAGCCAGAGAGCAGGTGTGGATGGAGCTGCTGCCTCCCTCTAACTTCCTCTCTCAGGGTGATGAAAGCACCACCAACCTCCTTCAGGTAACAGAAATTTCTTCCACTACTATTGAGCTACTGCTATTTTCCCAACCAAAAGCAGTGCTGTGCCACACTGCTACTCAGGAAAAGTTCCTCAAGGCAGCTATGAGTTATGAAAACAAACCATATGCCTAAACTACACTGTTTGATTTCATCCTCACAACAAACTTGTATGATTTTTATTTTGAGATAGTCTCACTCTATTGCCTTGGATGGAGTGCCATGGCATCACTGTAGCTGGCAACAACCTCAAACTCTTGGGCTTGAGCAATCCTCTTGCCTCAGCCTCCCGAGTAGCTGGGACTACAGGCAGGAGCCACCACGCTCGGCTCGTTTTTTCTATTTTTAGGAGAGACAGGTCTTGCTCTTGCGCAGGTATGTCTAGTGCTCAAGCAATCCACTCACCTGTTCCTCCCAGAGTGCTAGAATTATAAGCATGAGCCACTATGCCCAGCCTGATTTTTTTCTGTTTGGAGACAGAGTCTCACTCTGTCACTGGGGCTAGAGTGCAATGGTATCATCATCATAGCTCACTGCAACCTCAAACTCCTCAAGTGATGTGATCCTCCTGCCTCAGCCTGCAGAGTAGCTAGGACTACAGATGCCTGTCACAATGCCCAACTAATCCATTTTTAGTAGAGATGGGAGGTCTCACTCTTGCTCAGGCTGGTCTCGAACTCCTGGCCTCAAGCAATCCTCCTATCTCATCCTCCCAAAGGGTTAGGACTAAAGGTATGAGCCACCATGCCCAACCTACCTATGTGGTTTATCAGAGATAGGAAAGCATATGCTGAGAAGTTACATCATTTGTTCATGCAAATAACAGAGCTGAGATTTTTAACCCAGTACTGCCTGTAGCTACCATCAGGCAATATTACCTTTTAAGGAAATAATAGAGCTGAGAGATCATCATATATAACCTCCTGCCCCTACACTATTTTACAGAGGAGTAAACTGAGGCCCCAAGAAGGTAAATAACTTATCCAGTCACATTCAGAATTGGTGGCAATTCCAGAACTGAATCTTGGTTCTTTTGACTTTACACCCAGCCATTTGGCTCGACGCCTGTAGCTCAAGCAGCTGGGGCTCCAGGCACATGCACTGGAGCTGGTGGGTTTGAATCTAGCCCGGGCCTGCCAAACAATAATGACAACTACCAAAAAAAAAAAAAAAATAGCCAGGTGTTGTGGTGGGCACCTGTAGTCCCAGCTGCTTGGGAGGCTGAGGCAAGAGAATCGCTCAAGCCCAAGAGTCTGAGGTTGCTGTGATCTATGACGCCATGGCACTCTACCAAGGGCAACATAGTGAAACTCTGTCTCACAAAAAATAAAAAAATAAACCCAGCCTTTCTTTTTTTTTACTTTACATTTTTCCTATTGTCCTTTGCAATTCAAAGCAAATTTATATGAGGCTACTGGGTCTTACTGCACTTATTAGAGATGCTGATAATCCTTAGACTATATACTAGCTGTGTAGCTTGAACATGGTACTGAATTCTTCTAAGTCTCAGCTCCTTAGAGTAAAATGGCATAATAATGCTCCTAGTCTGGTAGTAAAGATTAGACAAAATTATTAAGAAAGAGCACACAAAAGGGCCTTATTAAGAGTGCACAAAATAAATGTTGGCTGCTATTGTGATGATTACCTAATTGGTGTTCTACTGTTTCTGTTTACATTTAATACTTATGATAACCTTGGGCAGGTGGGTAAGTGTGAAGGGGGGATGTGTCAAGGTTCCGAAGACACCTAAACCTACACTCAATCTGCAGCTCTTTCTTGAACACAGTTCTCTGAGATGGGAGCTGAGAACATGTCTCTAACCCACATGTGGTTTCCTGTTGTACAGTCTGTTCTCAGAGCAGCTTTGCTGAAGAAAAGGGTGTCTGGTGGTTAGTGACTGGAGTTTGGTGACTTGGTGCCTTGCCCTAATTTACAGGAAACTAAGTTCTAGGCCTCAGGGCAGTCCCATGATAGCCCAGAGCAACAAATCTAGAATAAAAAGATTTGGCTTCCACTGGGCACCAGAACTGAGCTCAGAATTAAGAACATTTAGTCAGTTCAACCACCTGGAAGGTCTGGAAACTGTCAGAGGATTGGAGAAGAGCCAAATACTATCTGGTAACTGAGGAAGGAGGAAATATTTCAAGGGCTAAATAAACTTAGCCAACAAGGTTTGGGACTAAAAATGAATTATTGGCTCAGCGCCTGTGGCTCAAGTGGCTAAGGCGCCAGCCATGTACACCCAAGGTGGTGGGTTCAAATCCAGCCCAGGCCTGCCAAACAATAATGACGGCTGCAACCAAAATAGCTGCCCGTTGTGGCAGGCGCCTGTGGTCCCAGCTACTTGGGAGGCTGAGGCAGGAGACTCGCTTGAGCCCAGGAGTTGGAGGTTGCTGTGAGCTGTGATGCCATAGCACTCTACCCAGGGGGACAGCTTGAGGCTCGGTCTCAAAAAAAAATTTAAAAATGAATTATTAAGGCCAGGGCCACCATCTCATTAACTCTTTGTATGAACAAGCAGACCTGTCATGTCAACCATCCCACTGAGGGCAACCACCTCAGACTGGGAGTCAGGATGCCCTCTCAGGTCAATATTGTCCCTCCCTGGAGCTCTGCTTCCTGAATCACAGAAACTCAGAGAAGGAATGGGTCTGGGAAAGCACTAGTCCAATACTCACATTTTACAGAAAAGAAAACAGCCCTCATTTACTGACCGCTTGTGTTAGCCCCGCAGCAGTGCTCTGTAGGATAAAGAAGCAACATTTTCCCCCTAAAGTCACAAAGATAGCTGGTTAGTGGCAGGGCTAGGACTTCTCTCCACCAAATTCTGGGTATGTAATCTCAGGCAAGATATATATCCTCTCTTGCCTCAGTTTCCTGTAAACTAGAGATAATAATAGCATTTACCTCACAAGGGTGATTGTGAGAATTGAGTTCAAACATGCAAAGTACTTGAAGTAATGGCTGGCATATGGTAAATCACTGCTGCTATTATTATTATTACCTAATACTTCCCCTTTTTCATCTGGAATAAAGAGGTTGACAAAAACACCTCTGAGGACACTCAAGTTTTATATAATGCTGAATGATCCACAGGGGCTAAATGCTCAAACATGGCCTTACTATGGGAAAATATAGGTCACTGGGTCAGTTTCCTTACAAAAAGACTTCTTTGACCATAGAGGAGAACTATCACAGATATTTAGGACTAGAAGACAAATCCTCTGATTTTGTCCAAGAATGGCAAATAATTTTTCAGAATCATCCAGTGCTGTAAAAATGAATGGGACTCTGACTTACGATGAAGCACCTGTCACTAACTTTGAGAACATTTTTCCACACAGCATCTCATGAGACTTTTCAAAATAAGCATTCCTCCACCTGCTGTCCCAGCCACAGGTCATCAGAGTTTCACAGGTAGCCACTCTGGCTTTCTCACATGTGATAAGGAGTGGCAAACAGATTTCCTGTTCTCAAACTCACATTTTTCTTCCTATCACAAGAGATCCCACAACTTAAGGCTCAAAAAATTTAAACTCCAGCTGCCAAAACGGTGGCTGACAACCTTTTCTAATAGCAAAATGATATAACTCACAACTGAATTTTATAATTCAGCCTTGCAGTCCCTACAACGAACGTCCAGCCTGATTTCTGCAGTGCCGCTCACTTCCATGCCTGCCATGTTGGATTAGACAGCAGAGAATCTGGTGTCAAAAGAGCTGAGTCTGAATCTAGCTTCTGCCACTCTCAGGCAGTGTGACCTTGAACAAGTCACTTCACCACTGAAAGAGGAGGGATCCTCCTCTGTAAATGGGATACAAAAACCCCTACCTCACAAGTCTTTTGGGTGAGGAGTAAGGCAACCAAGGAAAGGGTTTGTTCAAGGTCACAGATCACAACCAAGTTTCTACTCTGGAAGCTGATTTTCTTTTTTTCAACACCTTGCTTCCTTGGGGATGAGAAAGCCACAAAGTTTGATTTCACTTTGTGTACCTTCCTCCCCTTCTCTCAAGAAGGCCCAGAAGAGATGCTACTGACCTCTTGTAGGTGTAGCCCAAGATGATGCCAGCTCCAATGGCAATGATGATCACCATCATGGTAATGCCCAGTACATAGCCTGCCAAGGACAGGACACAAGGTCCCATTAGCCACACCCCAGACAATCAGCAAAGGATCATTTGACGAATCCCAACAAGGGCAGGGTTGGGGCTGTCATACCCAGAGTTCCCAGGTCCTTTTTCTCCTTGGCATTCATCCGCACCCGCTGGCTGATTCCAATGACTGGCTGCACAGCTGCCGCCTCACTCCGGGCGGGCAAGGCGTTGGCTGGGGCGAAAACCTGCACCTCATCTTCAACTGGCATTTTCAATGCCGCCTCGGTTTCTGTCATGGAGGCTAGTGGGGCCTGGGAAGTGGTCTCTGGAGATGAGATGAGAAACAGCTCTCATCAGAGCCTGCCCTGAGTGAATTCTACAGATGAACCTGGTCCCACTACACTAGCAGGGGAGATGGAGCCAGGTCACCTTAGAATGCTTCTCACATACTGAAATCAAACCCCACCCCAGAGGCAAGATCAGGCCTGAGAGGTCTGCACCATCTCTGCGACAAGACATATGTGAGGGGACGGTCATACGGAAGGGCCCTTCTCTATCCTCTCACGTCTTCATCTCTTCAAATACTTGCTATCTCGTTGCCATCTTCTCCAGGAGATTCCCCAGCTCCAAGCCAGGAGAAATCTACGACCGCTCTGAGTAGCTCACAAGCCTGTGCTCTGGATTCTAAGCAACTTGGACTCAAATCTGGACAATGCCACTCCCTCTGGTAAACTGTTCAACTTTTCTGAGGCTCAAATCCTCCAAACAGCTTCTCCTCATGCTAGTTGTGAGAAGTGTGTCTAGCACATTTGCAGATGCTCCCCCAAAGATCAATAAACCCTGAAAGGCGCTCCGAGGGCCGCGCCCAGGGCGCGCGACAGGATGTGGCGCACGGCGGCGAGATCCCTCCTCGCCCGCCGCAGTTGTTTACAAGCGCTAGCAGAGGATGAGGTCACTCCGCGCGGCCGCGGCGGCCAATGGAATTTCGGCCCCGCGGCCTGGAGACAGTCCTGACCAATCGAACGGCCCGGGGCGGGGCGGGGCGGGGCAGGCCGGCAATGCACGGCCGCACGTGCGCAGCGGGTGTAACAGCAGCTCCCTGTCAGCCTGTGGCGCAGGGTTCCCTGGGTCCCGGGCCAGTACCTGAGCAGCGCAGGTCCTCGCAAGGCTGCTTCTCAGGGACGCCAGCCTCGCTACTGACATAGCACCAGGGTCCGCGCGGGTCCCGGTCAGGGTTTCGGCAGTAGTTGTGGTTGCCGGCGCCTGAGACGGGAGAGAGGGAGCCGTAGATAGGCGCCGGGACCGGACGGCGCTCGCCAGCCCCGCCGCTGTTTGCGGCGGATACTCACCCAACTCGGGAGCCGACGCCAGGTCGCTCTGCGCGTCCAGCCAGTTGAGGCAGTGGAGGCCCGGCGCAGGCGAGGGTTGGTCCGCCCGGTACAGGTGGCCGTTGTCCCAAAAGCAGACTGTAAAGGAGAGGAGTCTCTGACACTGCGTGCAGCGAATGGAAGGCGCGGAGCGTGGTGGGCAGGAGAGCCAGACTCACCGCGGCCAGGCACCTCCATCAGAGGATCCTGGATCCTGCTGGGTATCCTCCCATTAGAAACACCCCCATCCAACCACCCCGGTGATGGGGTCCGAAAGGGAAGGAAAAGAAAGCGCCCCGTAAAGCCCTCAGCCAGCTTCTGGCCCTCAGTCGGCGCTCAGAGAGAGTTCGCTTTTTTTTTTTTTTTAATTAAAGCCAGAAAGCGCTACCAGAGGGTTGTTAACTCTTGAACTTGTGGCCACATTGGAGGGGAAAGTGGGGGAAACGAAGTCTGGCCTAGGATCTCTTTGTGGAAATGGTGGAAGTTTGGGGTCAGTGGGTGGCCAGACCTGAGATTTATCCCTGCCTTGTAATGCCCATGTTACGTAAACTCTAGTGTTTCCTCCTCCGCAGATACAGCCACCTTCTGCCAGTGTTAAAAGGCAACACTCTCAAGAGAATTCTCCAAAAGCCTTGGTTCAGTCAGGCAAAAGATTTTCAAGAGAGCCTTAGTCGGAAGAACCTGCCTCATCGCTGCCTGGATGTGACTCCAAACTCCCACTCCTCTTAGCAGGAAAGCTGCAGGAGGAAGCTGGGGAAGGAGGGCGCTGGCTACACCATGCAAAGGTGTTGAATAGGACTTGGGGAGTTGGAGTGATGAACCCTCAAGTTCTATCCACGCATGGGCAGGGAAAGAGAAAGTGGCTTCTTGCCTTTGTTCTTAATGGCAAAGATGGAGCTGCGATCCCCTGGCAAGGAAAGGAGGGGGAGGAAAGCTTTCCTAGGACAACAAAAACCAGCCAAAAGCTTTGTCTACATCATCCTGGCCCTGTTTGGGAAATAGGGGGATTGACCCATTCTGCTTCATTAAGTTGCTGCAGAAAGAAAAGATTGTAATCTCACCTCCAGATCCATAGGCTTCTGCTAGAAGCATTTTGCTGACCAGGAATGTTTGTACCCAGGCCAGTAGCATCATGGCCTCTGTCCTCCTGCAGGTGATCGAATAACCGGTATCCAACCAGGGTCCCCTTGGCTGCAGCTCTGTCTCCCAGCCCCAGCTTTGCAATCAGACCTGCCCTTGTTATGCTCTTCTGGTAAACAGCCTCTCTTTAGAACTGGGAGCTTCCCAGCTAGCTTGCTGCAGCCAGCCGTGTTTTTCAGCTGAAAGGCGCCCCCTGGGTCCTAAGCCGCCTATGCCATGCAAGATCAGTAACCATGGGCCAAGAGAGGAACTCAGCCAAGTGAATCAGCCAAGTGAAGAGAAGCAGAGAGGTTCAAGTCCTGCTTAGCAGTAGATCAGTTTGAGACCCGTGCAAAGCTGTATCAGGAGGGCTTTTCATCTATTCTGTTTCCATTTATGTAAATAGAGAAAGAATAATTCTGTCAAGAGACATCATGAGGGGAAATTATAAGCATTAAGGCACAGAACAATTTAGGGAGAAGATGCTACCAGGGGGGAATTCAGGACCACATGGGAGCACAAATAAGAGTATCTGGGTGGGGCTCGGTGCCTGTAGCTCAAGTGGCTAAGGTGCCAGCCATACACACCAGAGCTGGCAGGTTCAAATCCAGCCCGGGCCTGCTAAACAATGACAACCACAACCAAAAAATAGCCGGGCATTGTTGCAGGTGCCTATAGTCCCAGCTACTTGGGAGGCTGAGGCAAGAGAATCACTTAAGCCCAGGAGTTGGAGGTTGCTGTGAGCTGTGATGCCACAGCATTCTACCCGAGGCGACAGCTTGAGGCTCTGTCTCAAAAGAAAAAAAAAAGAGTATCTAGGTGGAAGTTACACTTTATACCCATCCTTGAAAAAGAAAAAGGGCCTTTGTAATTATATATGTTTATAAACACACTTTAAAAAAAAATCAGTGTAATTTTACTGGGTCAGATCAGTCACATTTCTTATATTTGAGGTTTAGGGTGTTCATTTATAGTAGGAATACAGAAGAGAGATCTTTGGTTGAAAATACATGTTATTCAAACATTAGAAAATTTGCTTAGCTATATTGTAATAGCTTTCTACTGTAATAGCTTTTTATAGAGGAAGTTAAGTAAAATGTTTGCTTTCCTCCCTCACCCTGTGGGAAATCCATTTGTTGTGATTTGTATCCATCATTAAATCTCACCACATCCATATGACTTAGGCTTTTCTTCCTGTTTGGCTGACAGTTCAAGTTCCCAGGCAGCCTCAGTAAACAATGAGAACAGAGTGATTGGCCAAGACTACCTTGTGACTCAGGCAAATCCCAAAATAGAAATGAGAGACTCTTTCCATCTTGTGGCCAGTAATTTAGGGAGGAAAAAGAAAACTTTTCTAAGGAAGTTTTAAAAAGCTGTATCAGGGAAGAAAGCTAGTAAATCCAACTAACCTGAAGTGAATTTGAATTTGCTACAATCAGATTTCAGACATGGAAAGAATAGAAGATACATTTAGTTCACTCTTTTTTTTTTTTTTGAGACAGAGCCTCAAGCTGTCTCCCTGGGCAGAGTGCCGTGGCATCACAAACTCACAGCAACCTCCAACTCCTAGGCTCAAGCGAGTCTCCAGCCTCTACCTCCCAAGTAGCTGGGACCACAGGCACCCGCCACAACGCCTAGCTATTTTTTTTGGTTGCAGCCATCACTGTTGCTTGGCAGGCCCGGGCTGGATTCAAACCCGCCACCTTAGGTGTATATGGCTGGCGCCTTAGCCACTTGAGCCACAGGCGCTGAGCCTAGCTCACTCTTTAAAGCAGTTCACTGATAGTTTTTGATCCCTTCAGTTCATTTGATAAGATGTATTGCTTTGTTTTTGCAATCATTCTCCTACCTCCCCACACAAAGTTCAGATCCTCTTACTCCTGACTTGGCCGACAGTAGTAATTACATACATCACAGAATCTGTAAATTTACTCACAATACAGAGATATGCCAAATTTTTGTAATTTAACTATTCTAACATAACAGGAATGTTTTTATTAATTTTACAAATATTTTTGATAACCTATTACATGCTAGGTATAGTTTTAGATACTGGGAACATATGAACAAAATGTTTAAAATCTCTGTCCTCATTGCTTAAAAAAAAAGTGTATACTACTTTCAGGAAACCAGTCAATTTTCTTCTTCTTTTTTTTTTTTTTAGACAGAGTCTCACTCTGTTGCCCCAAGCCAGAGTGTGGTGGCCTCAGCCTAGGTCACAGCAACCTCAAACTCCTGGGTTCAAGTGATGTTCCTGCCTCAGCCTCCTGAGTTGCTGTGACTACAGGTGTGCCACATTGCCTGGCTAATTTGTCTACTTTTAGTGGAGATGGGGGGTCTTGCTCTTGCTCAAGCTGGTCTCGAACTCCTGAGCTCAAACAATCCTTCCACCTCAGCCTCCCAGAGTACTAGGATTACAGGTGTGAACCATTGCATCCAGCCTCCAGTCAGATATTTTTATAATCAAAAGGCTGAAGGAAAAGGGCTCTTTGCCCAATTTTTCTTATGAATCCTTTGTTTACTCTAACATTGCTGCAAGAGATATATCATGTGCATTTTGTTTCATTGCAAAAAAAATTTAGAATTGAGAAAACAATAGTAGTTTTTAAATTTTAGTGTAGCAGACATTTCTTTGAGGTGGATCCTTTAGTACCTAATCTATTGCCTTTGTATGCAGTGAGCACTCAGTTATCGATGTCTGATGAAATGCTCTTCAGACTCTGAAGGACAACTTTTGCTGGATTATAATACTTTTCCCTTTAATTACAGTAGAAACAGGCTGAAACAGGCCATTACTAGTACCGTTTTCAGATTAATCTGCTTTGCCCATGTAGGGGTGCAAGTATTCCTTTCTCAGAAACCAGAGGCGGAATCCTTACCTATTGATGTTATCACTTAATCCTTCTATTAGGAAACTGCTATCTTGGCCTGGCACAGTGGCTCATGCTTGTCATCCTAGCACTCTGTGAGGCTGAAAGAGGGCATCCCTTAAGCTCAGAAGTTTGAGACCAGCCTGAGCACGAGTGAGACCCTGTCTTTACTAAAAATAGAAAAATTAGCTGCCTATAGTCCCAACTGCTCAGAAGGCTGAGGCAAGAGGATCTCTTTTTTTTTTTTTTTT